AGAAATAGCCTAAATGTCTAGCAATGGGGTACTGGAAAAATACTGTGGAAAGCTTTGCTGTGAAAGAAATCTCAGTGTAAAGAAAGTAAATATGAAGGTACATATTACAGCTGTTATATGTGATTGGGGGGGCATTTTGTGTTTTGTAAAATTTCTTCGGTGAATAGGTACTGTTTTTGTAATCTGAAGAAACACTGTCTCTCCAAACCACTTTACACAAATTACATTATGAAGCTTCATGTACATTGTTATTCTCTGTATTCAAGATTAGGACTTTGCAGCAAAGCTACAGTAAAGTATACAGACCTTAAATCAAATTGAAGATTGTTTTTATCATCTGTTAGTTTGGTTCAGAAAGCAGTGAAATAAATGACCCAGACTAGAATCCAACTTTTCTTATATTTCTATACTGTATTTCACTTTCCTTGCACAAACAACTATTAAATGTGATGACTTGATTAAATTAGGCTAAAATCCACCAGCCTTACATGGAAGTATGAATAATTATAAATCAATGTTTTCAGTGTACTTACAACAGGCTTAGCTGGACACAGTTGAGGTCCAAGTTGTACTTTGATAATCTGTATCATGATCATTATTGCTTTGGACACCAAGTATCAATGGACAGGAAAAAAGCCACAGTTTGATTTAAACTTTATTAACTTAACGTGTTCACAGAAAATGACAGAACAGTTTAAAATTTGTATTAATTTATGTCAAAAGTAAAAGCATAAATTCCTAGAAAAAAATGTAAAAGTTTGGATACAAATTCAGCGTTTTAATAATCAAAGAGTAGAATTTAATCTTACTAACTTTTGAGGCACAGAATATTTAGTCATATAAGATGCTTATCAATTACCTTGCTCTACTGTTGAAATAGAGTCTACTTAGGATTCACATGTGGCTTCTAGAGCTCAAAGAACAAATTTAAACAAAGAAACGAATTCTCTAATATTGAAAAGACATGTAATTCCAAAAAAATAGGTGTTTTCCTAAAATCTCACATTCTAAGCAATCTTCCTTCTTACTTTTCTGTTCTTTTATGCAAACAAAGCTAAACATTTTTTTCCTTTTATGTAAATGCATAGTTTTGACAGATTACTTACATCAAAGCTTACATAAGGAAAATATATTAACAAAAATCAGTAAAAAGTATTGAAAGAATATATATATGCCCTTGAATAAAATCCAGTGCAGTATCCCTGTTAACAGCAAACCTTTAAAAAGAAAGAACTTTTTGGTCTTCAGAATGGCAACAGATCCTGGTCTTCCTTTTCAGCTTAGAGAATCTCTCATTGAGTGAAAGTTTAGTCTATGAAGGAGAGAAAAACTATGAGCTCGGGGGATTAACAATCTCATAAAATACTCATGAAACTTAGTGACTAAAAGTAGACAGGAGATGGTTGAAGGCTGTGAGTGACAGAAGGAAGACTATGAGTTTAAAGAAAATGCACAGAGCTCTTCTCTGTGACTCTAGAAGCATGAAGTAGTTGTCAGATCTATAGTATACTACGGAGGCTACTTTTTGGTTCTTACGTGCTAAACAGTGGCATCGAAGGGCTTTAATTGAAGGTGTAACAGAGTAAGTTAAGCTTCCAAGGTGGGATGAGGGTCAGGCTTACTTTAATGGAGTGGAGATTAAATGCCTCGACTATGCCCAGGAATGTGGTAATCTGCCTTGTGAAGACACCCCTAGAGACAGGTGACTTCCAACTGGCATTTTTAGTCTACAATGAGCTGAAACACCTATCTCAAAAACCTCACGAGACTTAAGTTCCAGCTCCATCCTTATTTAGACTGCCACTGAGCCTAAGTTTCTTCAAGAAATACTCTTTTAAATATCACCTCAAAATCTAAATCAGAAACCAGATTGACACTGTTTTGAGGCATAGGTGATCTATATCCATTACTAAATTACTACATCCATCACTATATATTGCCTATTTTCTACTTATGAGTCATATACTTTTATGCAGAACACAATTAATCAGAATATGGATGGAATATGATGCTCTGGTTAATTTAATTTGTTGCTAACTTAAGGTTGGCAGGTAATTCTTTTGGTTTCAACTTCTGCTGTGAAAAAATGTTTACATATGTTAGTATATTTATTTGCTTTAGTACATAATCTGGTAAACATAACTGTCTCCTTGGCAAATGAGAACCAGATTGAGCCTTAAGGCCTCCACAGATGTAAATGTATAGTAGATTGAGCTAAATCCATGTTTAACTTGAAGTTCATTTAAAAGATAAGTAATTAAGGTTGGCTTATTTTCTTGACCATTATGTCTTTCACAAAGGTGGAATACAATGAAGAAATTCCTTGTGTATTAAGGGCTCCAGATAGACTCTGGTTAACCACATTTTTTCCTATAAATAAAAGATGCCATTGTACATACCTAAAAAAGGCATGAACTATTTAACATCTCATGAACAAGCTTACCGTGCAATTCTATTACATTTACCTGATTACCCATTTCTTGAAAGTTGAATTTCAGGTATATTCCTCTGGGCTGGTGCAGAGAACTCTTGGTTGTAGTATATTTAGTCTTTATGAGTAAAGCTTTAACCTCCTGTTTTATGTATATCGATTAAGCATAATATTTAATAAAAATATATATTTGACAGCCACTAATTAGATGAACAACATTGGACCAATCAATTTAATCCCTCAAGGTCTCATTTCCACTAGCTATAAAATGAAGATGGTATATTCAAGAATCTTCAAGCTTCCTTTTAAGATTCCAAGTAATGAATCTAGGAATGTTTATATAGCATTCAAAGGATCACATGCATGCATTAATGTAGCCTTTTTTATATTGTCACTTCAAAACCAGTAGATGAGTTGTTATACTGTTTAAATGCCAAAGCAGTCTCACTATTATTTAAGTATGGTTGTGCCTGTATGCATTTTGGAACAAAAGTAGCCAGAGCTTCCATATATAGAGAAAATGGATTAGTAGTTGCCTTGGGCTGGGGGGAAGGAGGGAAGGGAGTAAATGGGGAGTGGCTATCTCCCCCTACTAATGGCTATCAGGAGTTTCTTTTGGGGATAAAAATATTTTTTCAATTAGATTATGATGATGGTGGCACAACTCAGTTAATATACTAAAAGCCACTGAATTATATACTTTAAATGGTTGAACTTCATAGAATAAAAATTATATCTTAATAAAGTTGTTACAAAAAACATAGCTGGAGCACGTAAGGCATTAATACAAAAAGCTACCTGGCTATCCAAAATTTTTATTCTGCCAGGTTGCAGGGGTATCCCTTATATAGAGTCTCCTCATTGGTTGCTAGTGGGTCTGGTTTTTGCTTTGCCTTAATATAACATCTCTTCATGTAAATTAACAGTACAAATTTTTTTAAAAAATGGATGGTTAAATAGTTTAAAGGAAAATGTTTACCACATGTAGTATCTTAGTCTGTTCAGAGTGCTATAACAAAATACTATAAACTGGGTGACTTATAAACAACAGAAACTTATTTCTCAAGTTCTGGAGGCTGAGAAGTCCAAGATCAAGGTGCCAACATGGTCAGGTTCTGATGGATTCCCTCTTCTGGATTGCAGACTGCCAGTTTCTGGCTGTGTCCTCACATGGTGGAAGGGGCAAGTAAGCTCTTCAGGGTCTCTTTTTATAAAAGCACTAATCTCATTGGCTCCACCCTTATGACCTAGCCACCTCCCAAAGTCCCTACCTCCTAACACCATCACATCGGGCATTAAGATTTCAACATATGAATTTGGGGGACACACACTCAGACCATAGCATGTAGTCACACTCTAACAGATGTAGAGAACAACAAAAACCCAAATGCTGTGTGGTTATCTTGATATTGTCAATAAAGTTGCTGTAAAACCACTTATTTAAAAGTGGTTTTAAATAAATCAGGTACTTTTCCAGTTGGTTTTTTTTTTTTTTTTTTCTGGTTACAAATATTGTTCCTACTAGGACTCAACTGGACCAAAATCAGTGTTTGATTTGGAAAAAAGACAGAGAATGCTCTGAGCAATTAAATAAATATTGGTTTCCAATTTAACTTTTAGTCATAATTCCTCTTTCTTTTTCTTCATTTTCTTTAACAACATAGCATAGAACATGCTCATGTTTTTTGATTTACTGAATACAATATATTACGTTCTTATTTTAAAAGCAGGTAAGTGTAACAATCTATATGGGGTAGGCAGAATTCTAAAAATGGCTCCCAACGAGTTCCTTCAGGATATGACACTGTTTTGAAGGTGGAAGGGGCTGCATGAACGGGAATTCAGGCTGCCTCTAGAAGCCAACAGGGAAATGGGAACCTCATTCCCCAAAACTCAAGGAACCGAATTTTCCCAATAACTAGAATGAGCTTGGAAGCCTCTTCTTCGGAGTGTCCAGATAAGAGAGAAGCCCAGGGCCAGGACCCTGATTTCAATTCCATAAGACCCTAGCTAAAAAGCCAGCCAAGCACACTTGGACATCTGAATTATAGAATTGTGAGATAAGAAGTGAGTGTTGTTTTAAGCTGCTGTTTGTGGTAATTTGTTTAAGCAACAATAGAAAACTAATACACTAGGTTTTTAAAGAATTTAACCTTGTCTTTACTTGTATTTGTGAAGAGACAATATGGTAGAGTAGAAAGCCCACAGGTTTTGTAGCCACACAAACCAAATTTGAATATATCATTTAAAATTTGAATTAGATTGTTAGTTGTATGACTTCAAAGAAGTTAATATACTCTATTGAGCTTATTTTATTCATCTGTAATATGGAAATATTCATACCTTACTTCAAAGAATGCACAGAAATCTAAAATATAAACATAAAATCGAGCCAGGTTGTTTTATGAATTTTCTAGTTCTACATTAGGATTGTTTACAGAAATTGTTATGGATTGTTCAGAATCAGCTTCTAGAAGCCCTCTGCTGGAAGTTACATTTATTCATTTTTCTTTCATTTTACCCCTAAGAATAATTACATTTAGTTATACAGATGTTTGTATGCAATTACCTTTCACGTCTTCGATAATTTTCACAGGCGTTATGATTATTTTCTGGTGATATCTAAATGGGAAAGGTTGAAACAAATCATGCAAAAACCTTTGTTACTCAGTACAAGGTGCTTACTTTCTGTATTTTAAATTGATTAACATTTTCAATGACACGATTCTCTCTGCTTGATCCTTAGACAATTCTCTCTGCTCAATCCTTAGTCAAACATTCCATTTCAGGTTGTTCTTCCCTTTTCATAGATCAAGAATGTCAAAGCTAGCAGACCCTTAGAGATCAAGCAGTCCAACCTCCTCACGTAAAAATAAGGAAATGGTGATTCAGAAAACTCAAATGATTTCTCCTAAGCCTTGCAGTAGTAGTGACCCAGAAGAAAACTCTCAAGATCTAGCTGTGGCCTGGATCCACACACCATTTATCTGAATCAAGGGGAAAGGTAATAATTGTAGATAAAATCCACAAAGGGTGTCCTTCTACTCTTTATATAAATAGGCCTGTGACCTGACTCTATTCAAGATAAGTGAGATAGAGAACTGTATTATCCTAACAACTTAATTTTAGAAAGTCTTACTTCTAACTCAATCAGGTATTTCAGGTGAATGTTAGGATCTTTTTCAATAATTAACTTAAATCCTTATTCCTATAATTATTTTATAAGTGACAACATAGGTTATACCTACATGTGGTCAATGAAACAAACCAAAGCATAATTAAAACACTCCATCCAAATGTTAATTGGCTCAGATCACTCCATAACTGAACTGGTTTCAGTACATCCAGTTATATGTAGCTGGTGGTTGCTGGTTCAGCTGTTTTTATATAAAGTCCTGACCACAGTTATAGTTTGCAGGTGGATTTGGTATTAACAGCCTTACAAATAATATAAGAGCAGCCAAGACGTCTGTATAGCCAGTAGACTATAAAAGTACAATAACACATGAAAGTATTCTTAAAAGTTAATATTTACATATCAAATATTCTCTTATTGGAAAGCTCTTGTTTAGGTTGGAAGCACATATTAGTGTTTACAAGTAAAGATGCTTCAGAAGGCAGCCTTGAATTCAAGATAGATGTGTGTCTAATGGCAACAACTTCATGAGTTAAACAGTTTCATATACCCTCTTCACCCCATACTCTACTGATAGCCATTAGTCAACAGGGTCCTTGCCAAAACTAAAGAAAGATAAGGGTGCCAAGAGAATGGAGGTATAGTTTATATGGAAATAATGGCAGATTATCCAGGAGCTTAACTAGGTGATACATAAACCAAAGTAGAAGAAATGAGAATAGGAGCCATGGAAATGGGGAAACAAGGGCAGGAATTTGAACTAGAAACTATTGGAAGAAAGGGATTTGAGCTAATGTGATTATTTCTAAAATAAATTGGTCAATATAATTTCCTTCCTTAAAGTCAATAGTTCTGCATTACCCTCAATATAGAATCCATACTCTAGCATGACACATAGGCCATCAGTCTCCTGACTTTCTACCTCTCCACACACCTCTCAACAGTTCTGACAACACACTTTACACCTGAGCTCAGTGATTTTCAAACTATTTTTAACAGTGGAATAATCCTTAGTTCTAACAAAATCTTACTTGGTATCTCAATATGCAAAATACTAAAAAGCAAAACTGCCTTCAATGGCCCGAGATACCTCTTTACAATCCCTAGAACTTCGCAGTACACAGTCTGAAAATGACTGCAGTCTGGCTAAACTAAGCTAATTGCAGTTTATTAAATATGCTATGCTTTCTTTCACTTCTATAATTGTTACACATGATGTTTCCTGTGACTGGAAAGCCTTTTCCACCTTTTTTGCTTTGCTTCCTCCTACTCAGCCTCTAGGACTCAACTTGAACACCATCTCCTCTAGGATGCCTTTCTTAACCTCCTTAGCTGATTTGGGATTCCCTCCCCTATACTCACTGCCATACATCTAAGTATTTATGCTTGCTTTCCTTCCTTCTTTCCTTCTTTCCTTCTTTCCTTCTTTCCTTCCTTCCTTCCTTCCTTCCTCCCTCCCTCCCTCCCTCCCTTCCCTCCTTCCTTCCTTCCTTCCTTCCCTTCTTCCTCTTTCTCTCTCACTCCCCCTCCATCCCCTCTCTTCTTCCTTCTTTTTACTCTTCCCTCCTTCCCTCCTTTCCTTTCTTCATTTCTTTTTTCCCTTTTTTCTTTCCTTTCTTCCTTCTTTCCTTTCCTCTGCCCTCCTTCTCTCTCTCTCTTTCTCTTTCTACTTCCCTTTTCCCCTCTTTCTCCCCCCTCTCTCTTAAAGATTTTTTCTTAAGTACATAGAACGTTTCTGGCATATAATAAGAGCTCAATAAGTGTTGAATGAATAAATGAAATACTGCTCGATCTTTAGTCAAACATTCAATTTCAGGTTGGGGACTAAAAAAGGCCATTGAATTTGACAATAAGGAAGTAATAAAAAAATGTTTGATAGCAAAATTTAGAACGGTAGGAACTAAAGTCAGACTCAAGAAATGAATTGGCAAATAGAAACAGCTATGAGGTTCTAACTGTATCCGGAAGCCTATTAGAAGAGATTTTGTTCCTATTTAAAGGATAATCATATTTGCCCCTATATTACCAAGGGGATCTTGGTAATCCCCTGAATAATGAATGGCATGTATAGATACATCTATATGTGTATGTATATATGTATATGTAATATATGTTAATAACTGAATCACATAAAATTTATTAGAATATAATAACTTTTAAAAAGGCATGCATTTAAAAAATAATCACATCAATATGGCCATAATGAACATTTGGTGATTATAATGAATAATTTTATATAATCGTCATCAGTAATGGTAAAATAATAACTCCAATTTATAGAATGCTTACCACAATCCAGTCTCAATCCTAAAATGTTTATATGTATTTCAATTAATCATTACAGCAACCTATGAGATCATTATTCCCATTTTATAGCTAATAGTCCCATTTATGGGCTCAAAGGGCCTTGCCCAAGGTTCCTCGACTACCATGTTTCATTAAATCTAAGACACCATGATTGTAAAATGTACTGTTATTTTATGTATAAAACGTTTTCAATTTAACTATGATAAATTATTAAATGTTAGACACTTTCTGATTTTAGATAAGTTGAAACCTGAAAAAAGATATGTGTCTTAGAGTTGGTCAAATACGGTATTAAATGACAGAAATATGATTCCATCCAAATGTGAATCCAAAGCCTCTGTTATTAACCATTACACCATACTGCTTAGATCTCTTTTGACCTCTTATAGATGTCCTTCATTCTAACCTCATTTACAAGGGAAGAAAAGTAAGATTGAGGATTATCCAGGAAAGAAAGCCATGTCTCTGAGACCCAGACTAGACCTCTTTACACTGAATCATATTGATTTTTAAGCTAATCTTTTTTCCTGTAGGTAGAGAGGTATTGGAAAAAATACCAGAGTGTCATGTGTAAAAATAAGTAATAGATGTCTCACATAGGAGCTACATGTACTCAATAATATATTTCATCTAAATGCTTATGCCAAATAGACGTGTTCTGTACTAAAGATGGAAATTTCCAACAAAAGAGACTTAATTGGCTTAATCAAAATACTAATCACTTTGTCTCTTATAATTGCTGTTCACAGATCATCAGTAAATAAATAATAAATAAAATAAAGACAATGCCCTAAAAATTCAATGGTTATAAAAGACTTTAAAACAATACATGCTATTAAATTTTATTTGTACCATCCTTTCTCAGTGTTGTCTACTGTCTGCTTAGACGCTAAATAATATAAGGTAGATTAGGGGCTAATGGAGCCAAGGGAGAAACTTTTGTAAGCAGTTATACTATAAGGCTGGAAAAACTTGACCTATGTAGACATGTATGACATATGTGCTTCTTCCTACACAGATGTGGGTAAATAGGTTTTAAAATGTATTAAAGTAAATACCACTATAAATAGATGCCAAAATTAGAACAAAGGCTGCAAAAAGGAAGTCTATTCAAATTAAATGATATATAAAATCACACAGATTCTGTGCTATCAAGTTGAAAGAGCTGATGCTTACTCTTCGATGCATGTTCATTCGATAGTTTCTTTGCTGCATCTGTTTCTGAGAGTATTCATTCCTTGTTTTTGTCATAAAAGACCTGATATAAATAATAAAAGGAGATACTTTAAAAAACAATCTTTTATTTTGAAAGAAATTATTATTTAGAATGTATGTCTTCAAGCAATATTATTTTATTATACATATTTAAATGTCTGATTTAAGACTGGACTCAAGATGCAGTTAAAATCCAGAATAGTATTCTGATAAGCAATTTTCAGCTTAGGTGTGAATTATTACTTTCTGCATGCATAACAAAGATCAGAAGTTAACGAGCCATATGGCAGAATATTTCTGTTTAAATTTTTTTTTTCAAGATTGACATTAGCAAGATGGCTGTTATGGACTGCATGTTTTTGTTCTCCCAAAATTCATATGTTGAAGCCCAAACCCCCAATGTAATGGTATTTGGAGGTGGAGCCTTTGGGAAGTCATGAGAGTAGGGCCCCATAATGGGATTAGTATCCTTAGAAGAAGAGAAAGAGATCAGAGTTCACTCTCTCTCTATCATGTGAGAACAGACAAAAGGTGGCAATCCACAAGCCAGAAAGAAAGCTCTCACTGGAACCCAACCATGATGACACCCTGATCTCAGTCTTCCATCCTCCAGAACTGTGAAGAATAAATTCCTGTTGTTTAATCTACCCAGTCCATGGTAATTTGTTATGGCTGCTCAAGCATCCCAAGACAATAATGAACTAGGAAGCTACAGGCTCTCCTTCCCTGCCAGAGATACAAAGTTAACAACAATATACAGACTAGAATACCTCTGTGTGAACTGTAGAAACCAGTTGAGAAGCCACAGCACTCAAGTCATTATAAAAACAAAAAGAGATTCCAGTAAATGGGGTTGGAATATTCACGGCACTTAGTGCATCCATTTGTATATCTCTCCCTACACAACAAAGCATAGAGCAACCAGAAGGAAAACTCCATACTGGGGCACCTCCCTTGGGATGGAAACTAAAACGTGGACCATGTATCAAATGTTCTGGTTTCTCTGGGGGCTGCCTGGGGGCTGCCTGAGGACTGATATATGTCTCTCAGACTCTGAGCATTGATGAGACCAGTGCCAGAGTTTGGAAGCCATTGAATACAGATGAAAGCAGCATATTAGAGCTGCAACTCTGCAGGTAGATACCAAGGGGAGCAAGACTTCATAAAATGTTTGAGAGGTCCTAGAACAGCAAATTGGTGATCTTCCCCTAAATGAAGCCAACGTGCAGAGACTGGGGAAAAGATGTTTAAAATGCCCAAATCTGATGAAAAAATTAATGACAAGGTACACAAAGAAACAGAAACAGTCCAATCAAAAGACCAAAATAAAAGTACACAGAAATCAAACTTAAAGAAATACAGATCTATGAGCCGCCTAACAAACAATTTAAAATAACAGAAAGATGCTCAATGAGCTGAAAGAGAACACATATATACAACTAAATTAAATCAGGAAAATGACCCATGACCAAAATGAGAATATCAGCAAAGAGATAAAAAAATATAAAAGAATCAAACAGAAATCCTAGAGCTAAAAATACAATAACTGACCTGAAAAATTTATTAGAGGGGTTCAACAGAAGACTGGATTAGACAGAAAAAAATTTATTAGAGGGGTTCAACAGAAGACTGGATTAGACAGAAAAAAAAGAATCAGCAAACTTGAAGACAGGTCATGTGAAATCACACTCATAAGGTTTTTCTCCAGTGTGAACTCGCTGATGTATCCTAGAGCTAAAAATACAATAACTGACCTGAAAAATTTATTAGAGGGGTTCAACAGAAGACTGGATTAGACAGAAAAAAATTTATTAGAGGGGTTCAACAGAAGACTGGATTAGACAGAAAAAAAAGAATCAGCAAACTTGAAGACAGGTCATGTGAAATCATCAAGTTGGAGAAGCAAAAAGAAAAATCAATGAAGAAAAATGAAGAGAGTTTAAGGAACTTATGGTATATTATCAAGCAGGCCATTATATGCATTATGAGAATCTCAGAAGGGCTGAAGAGAGCATATATGAAGACGTGGAAGCAACCCAAATGTCCATCAACAGATAAATGAATAAACAAAATGATATATACATAGAATGGAATATCATTAGCCTTAAAAAGGAAATAAGAAAAATACTAACAACTAGGTAAACAAATGGAGCTAGGGAAAAATGAAGAATTTGGAAATAAAAATAGGGTAATCAAATAATCAGTCTGAAAAGACCTCTGTTTTCAGAGTGATATATAGTATATTAGGGATTTTAGACCTAAAGATCTGATTTGTCAATTACAGTCAAGTTTGAATCTATTTGAAGAATTACTTGGAATGCTGAAGTGGTGATGACATATCTGTTATCACTCTATAATTGGAGTTTAAATGGCAAGCATTCTAAAACTCAATATAGTCATGGGTCGCTTAATTACAGGGACACATTCTGAGAAATGCATCATTAGGTGATTTTGTTGTTATGCAAACATCATAGTGTACTTACACATACCTAGATGGTATATCCTACTACACAGCTAGGCTATATGCTATAGCCTATTGCTCCTAGGATACAAACCTGTACAGCATGTCACTGTACTGAATTCTGTAAGCAACTATAGCACAACGGTAAGTATCTGTATCTCAACATATCTAAACATAGAAAAGTACGGTAAAAATACAGTACAAAAGATTTAAAAAGTGGTACACCTGCATGGGGCACTTACCATGAATAGAGCTGACAGGACTGGAAGTTGCTCTGGGTGAGCCAGTGAGTTAGTGGTGAGTGAATGTGAAGGCCTAGGATATGATGTGTACAGTATTGGAGACTAAAAACACTGTACACAGGCTATGCTAAACGTTTTAAAGTTTTTTCTTCAATAAAAATTAACCTTAGCTTACTATAACTTTTTTCTTTATAAACTTTAATGTTTTTTTGAATTTTTCAACTTAGCTTAAAACACAAACACACACAAGTAAAACACGTACATTGTATAGCTGTACAGAAATATCTCCTTTCTTTATATCCTTATTCTATAAGCTTTTTTCTATTTAAGAATTTTTTTTTAATTTTTAAACTATTTTTGTTTAAAAGTAAGATACAAACACACACATTAGCCTAAAGCTACACAGGGTCAAGAAAATTAAAACACTGTTTTCCGACTCTACATCTTGTCTTCTGAAAGGTCTTCAGAAGCACTAACAACCATGGAGTTGTCATCTCCTATAATAATAACGCTTTCTTCTGAAATACCTCCTGAAAGGACATGCCTGAGGCTATTCTTGAGGAGGTGTCACTCTTTTCAGAAAGATGTCCATGGTGATTTTCTTGTTTGTTTCTTGTTTCATTATAGGTTTTCTTGTAAGCAGTAGTGCACCATGAACATTCCTCTCTATTAATGAAAACCTTTTGGTGTTGGGGTCCATGTTTGCAAACTTTTTTAAAATAACTTTTTATTTCTTTAATTACAGTTGACATACAATATTATGTTAGTTTCATGTACAGACTAGACATTTATATAACTTATGATCACCCCCGTAAGTCTAGTACCCATACAACACCATACATAGTTATCATAGTTATCACAGCATTATTGACTATATTTCCTATGCTATATTTTACATCCCCATAATTATTTCCTAACTACGAATTTGTACCTCTAAGCCCTTCTGCCCTTCACCCATCCATAAGCCCCTCCCATCTGGTAACCATCAAAATGTTCTCTGTATCTGAGTTGGTTTCTGTTTGTTTGTTTATTTCGTCCTTTAGATTCCAATATAAGTGAAATCGTATGGCATTTGTCTTTCTCTGTCTTACTTCACTCAGCAAAATATCCTCTAGGTCCATCCATGTTATTGCAGATGGTGAGATTTCATTCTTTTTAATGGCTGAGTAATATTCCACTATATATATGTTCTACCTCTTCTTTATCCATTCATCCATTGATGAACACTTAGGTTCCTTCCATATTTTGGTTATTGTAAATAATGCTGAAATGAACATATGGACTCACATGTCCCTTTAAAGTATTGTTTTGGGTTTCCTCCGATAAATACTCAGAGGTGGAATTACTGAGTCTTTCTTTGTCTCTTGTTATAGCCTTTGTTTTAAAATCTATTTTGTCTGATTTAAGTATTGTTACTCCTGCTGTTTTTGCTTCCATTTTCATGAAATATCTTTTCCATCCCTTTACTTTCAGTCTGTGTGTCTTTCGATTTCAAATGAGACTCTTGTAGACAAAATATGTAAGGTTCTTGTTTTCTTATCCACTCAGCCACCCTATGTCTCTTGACTGAAGCATGTAAGCCATTTACATTTAAAGTAATTGTTGACAGTTATGTAACTATTGCCATTTTCATATTTATCTTTTTTTTCTTCCTTGTCTTCTTAAAGAAGTCCCTTTAACATTTCTGGTAATACTGGCTTAATAGTGGTGAACTGCTTTCCCTTTTTCTTATCTGGAAAGTTCTTTATTTGTCCTTCGATTCTAAATGGTAGTTTTGCTGGGTAGAGTAATCTTTGTTTTAGGTCTTTGCTTTTCATCACTTAAAACTCATCCTAAACTCTGGATCAGGGGAGACAGATTTGTGCCTTGCCTTCTGTCTCCTGGCTGTTTGACTTGGCAATAAAAGCCTCTTATTTTCTCAAAAGACAATATCATAGCATTAGATTCTATGTGCATCAGGCATTGAGCCCTTGCTCAGTAACAAGTGCCTTAGTGAAGTATTATACTACTTAACAAACAAAGATGTGTAAAATGAAGTGATATAGACAATAATATTGTAATAACTATGTATAGTGCCAGGTGGGTACTAGACTAATCAGGGGATCACTCTGTAAATTACATAAATGTCTCACCGTTCTGCTGTACACCTGAAACGAATATAAAATAATATTGAATGTCAACTGTCATTGAAAAAGAATAAAATGAAGTAAATCCTGAAAATCTCTGATAAATGCAGAAACATGAATTTCTTGTCATTAGTGTTAAACATATTTTAATTTTTTATAGCAAATTATTTGTATACTGCTAATATTAGTCTGGGGCATTTAGCATTAAAATGGT